AACTGCTGTTTTCAATGAAAAAGGCACCACATTTTGATGTTATGTGTCGTGTGTTTAGGGTCACTTTCGTGAAAGAAGATGAAATTTCAATCTGAACCTAACTTTTTAGCACTTTTTTTTAGATTTTTGGTGGAGTATATCCAAGTAAACCATATGATTCATAATGCCATCTATAAAAAGTAAATTTCTTACCCCAGTTGAAACCCTACAACCCCAAACCATGACGGAGCCACCACCATTAACTGTAGGGGTAGATTTTTTTAATCCAAAGCGATGGTGGGCATTTTCCATACGGTGCAACTGACATCACTGCCGAAAATGTTGAATTTACTTTCATCAGTGACTATAACTTTCTTCCAAAAGTTATTCATCTTCAACTGATGAGTTTTTGCAAGCTCCAAATGACTTTTACGATTTTGCAAGCTGATGAATAGTTTCTTTCTAGCTACTCTACTTTTATGTCCAGCTTCTCTAATTACATTTTGCACACAATCAGTACTTGCACTTCTGCCAATGATTTGAGAAGTTTCAGCATTAGGTTTGACTGCACGTACTTTAGGATCAATCTTGATATCTTTCAAAATTTTCCTTTTGGTGACATCATTCAGAATACCTTTGCTTCCACTTCCACTTTTATTTTCAATCAATTCACACTTTTAAGTTTTCCATTGATTGTTTGGACATACGTGTGACTTCTACCAACAATTTTAGCTATTTCACGAAAAGATTTCCCTTTTTTATATAATCTTAGTAGGAATTTCCTTACATCGATACTGGTTTCTCTTCGAGAAGTCATTTTCTATTTAAAAGTATGGCTTTTAAGTTCATATTAGCAAACCTCATCACAAAAGTTAAAAGGTATAAGATAAGATTACATAACATTAGAATAAAACAGAAACCATGTAGAAAAAATGCAGTAGTAGTTAAACATATTTTTCATTGGTGTATTCTCAATTTTTTAGGCAAAAATCTGCTTATATTTATTTAAAATGCTTCTGAAATTTTTTATTTTAGTATTTTTTCGCTGATTGTTTTTTATTTTTACTTTAAATTAAATCAGCTGTTATTTGTAAAATTAAAAACATGTTTCCACTTCTTGGTAACGTGTTATTTATATTGAAAGTTAGATTTATCAAGTAAAAGTAAGTTGTATTCTCAGTTGTTTGAGCAATTGTATGTATGTTTCTTGCATTGTGATAAAACAACAGTACCTAGAGCCATCAAATTTTGAATAACATAATCTTCATCAAATATGGGCATCTGGAAAGTCCTAATTTGGAATTTGTTTTATTATTGATTTCATATTATGTAACACTTTAATGAAATTTGTATTAACAAACTCGATTTAAAAGTGAGCAGTGGTAACACTGTACGGAAAAAAAGCGTATCTCCAGCACGCAAGACTATATATCAGAAACTCTAAAGATATGGTCATTTTAAATTATTTTTCGATATTGCTGTTAAATTAAATTTTCCCCAGCTGAACATACTTGTGTAAAATATGAGCTTTTGAACTTGATTTAAATTCAATATTTTTATTTTATAAAAAAATTTAGCAAATATAACACTGCATGCGTAAATTGTGCTGTAACTGAACTAGTATAATATTACAAGCAGATGTAACTCAGCCAAAAAATTTAAAAAATTGGAAAATGAAACACTACGACTCAGAAAGTAAGTTGCATTTTAAGTTATATTTTATGCTTTAGATAATATGTAAAAAAAAAAAAAAAAAAAAAAAAAAAAAATGCTTTGTGCTATGATACCAAGAATCCCCCCCCTTCCTTTCCACGCACACACACTTTACATTATCGAGGACCGTAAGGGTCCCTTTTTTATTTTTTCTAAACATAGGTTGTAATATATCTTTTTGTTCAGGAAGAAACGCCGTTAAACATTTTTATTATTTCATACACCTCAAAGCTCTTATTCCGATTTTCAACCCCTTTGGCTTCCTAGGGGCTCCTTTTTAAGTTTTGGATAAGTTTTAGTTTTCATCTAAAACGGGCCTCAGAAATATTTTCCTTCCTTTCACCAATAGAAATATTTTCCTTCCTTTCACCAACTGTAAAAATTGGTTGTGGAAACAACCTTTTGTATTCTAACCCAGAGGGCAAATTTCTGTTGTGTTCCCTATCTAGTCTTTCATCTGAAATTAACAAAGAATTAAAAAGAATAAAAGCATGCTTTCAAATCAGCAGCTTTTGTGATTACACTATGAGATGGACCTTAAGTGCATTTCCATTTTAAGTGAGCTTTCCCTTTGTGTGATCTTATCTTTTCACACAAGGGAAGAAGCTGTTACTCCCGAATGAACAAATTAGTTTTCAGTCACCTCATATCATTTTCTTTGCATTCTAGGATTTTGGAAAGCACGAAGCAACAGGTGTCTTTTGAGGACTAACATGCCATCTAGGTCAAAACTTTACACAGTGCTTCCACAATTCTGTAAAGTTTTGACCCAGACGGCAATTTTGAAATCGATGAATCTTTCTGTTGGGAAAGGGATAAGTGCTGAAATAAAAATTTTAGCTAAACAGAGATGAAGGAAACTCGAATGGAGTAAACAAAGAATTAAAAAGAAACTAATTTACTTATATTCAGTTCTAGTGCAGGGTCAGTAAACTCCTCATTTCTTCATGAACATAATATTGAACTCTAAACAACTTATAAATTAATCATAAAAATATTATTATTACATCATAAACTGTTATAAGAAATTCTGTCATGTCACAAAGTATAAAAGGAGAAGTGGTGCTGCCATCTATTGGCATGGTACCCTCAATGTATATACCGGTTTTAAAATTGTATAAATAATCTTCTGTTAATTATCACTTCTGACTGAAATGAAGTAAATATATAAGATTTAGCATATGTATGTCATATATTTGCAGATTTTGAATTTTTTCTTCCAATAGAATTTATGAATTTTCAAATGTGATACCTTGGAGTGAGGTATATTAATTTCATAACTGCAAAATATTGAACATTCATAGCATGGTGCTGCTATTCAGAATAGAAAGGAAACACTAGAAACTTAAGATTATAGCTTTTGGTATTGAAAAATTAACATTTTTTAGGAGGTTAAAAAATTGACAACTATACCGGTGCCCTTCAAAGGGTTACGTGCGAAGAACATGATATTTAATAAATAAATAACAAAACATTAAAAAAACTCTGGGCATAATATAAAATCTGAAAGATTTCAGATTTTTATTAATTTTGGTTTTTATTTTATTTATTTATCCCCCCCCCCTAAAGCTGAAACACAGAAAGCTCACAAAAACCATTTCAACTATTTCAAGCTGATGTATGAGATACGATTTTCTATATAGAATGAAATTAAGTTTTCCACAAGTTTTCATTTTATTTATAATTTTTATTAATATATCATAAACCCCTTTTCCCTCCTCCCTTTTCAGCTTATAAAAATAAAAAAATGCTTCCACTTGAAATAAAATATTTTTACTGCTGCAACAGCAGATTAAAATATGCAAAAAGTTTATTTCTATATCTATGATATAGATATGCCTATGTAGGCAAAGTTAAAGAGATCTGTATTCTGTTCGTTTTATCTGTAAATGATGTATTTTATCATTTATTTTCTGTATTTTATTGAAACATTTATATCTAGAGCTGTGTTAAAGTGCTTAAAGAGCAATGAAAGTTATTCTTGGGCAGCCTTATGACTAGTTTCTACTAAAATGTTAAACCGTTTCTCAAATCACATATTTTAATATAATTGTCCAAGAATTATTTGGTATTTTATAATTACAGCATACCTATATATGTGAAAATGTTAGTCTTGGAGTGTAGAATTATATTTAAAACTGTATAACTTTAGTACTATTTAACCTTTTCTCGATGGCGTACCTTTGTTTAAGATGCTCATGCGGGACGGAAGGGAATTGAAGGCAGTCACCGTACAGGACGGAGGTTTTGCATCGCTGAGCCTAATTTTATAAAACATTTCAGAAAAAAAAAAGTTTCGCTTCTAGCATCATAATTTTTGGTATCGTTTTAGATTATTACTTGAGCTCTTATATATGTTAAAATTAGCACTTAATAACGTTTTTTTCTTTATTTTACAAAAAAATATACTTAAAAAATTGCTTAACTTGTAAAATAATTTTCGGAAGCGCTATTCAAATTATTCCAAAATTTTAATTGATAAAATCCATCAATAAAGTTTAAAATTAATAAAACAACACAATAAAGACTATTTACAGTAAGAAGTAACAAAATTTAAAATGAAGACTGTGGTAAATCTCTAAGTATGGAGAAGTATCACTTTCTAACTCTTAGAAAAAATGTCACTTTCTAACTCTTTAGAAAATGAATCATCACTCTCATCTGCGTTAATAAATGGTTCATTGACCATATGAGGGTATTCTTCGTCTGATAAATAGCGCCTTTCCACCATAATAGACTGGATGTGAGGCTTTCCGCAGTAAAAAGAGAAGAAACGGAAGTATAACTGAAGGCAATGCAAAACATAACAATACTCCACATACTAGCCCTAAAAGACCGTACATAGCAAAGGGAAAAATAAAATAAAAAAAGGAATTGGATGTAAATCAGACGCGCGAATGTTTTCATTAGCACACAGCGATTTAAAGAGCTCACCTCTGTTTACGCTTTCCCTCCCCCCCCCTCGCAAGAGCTAATGAGTAAAATACCAAAGTCAAGGTCAGGAAGCTAAAACTGTGTTCATTTCAAAAGTAATGGACATAGGATGTCATCTACTGGCCTTCAGAAAAGCGTTCCAGCTTAAAATGCGTATACGCATCACCCGTCCTCTGAATGCAATCTCTAGCGATGCGTGGATGGGACGCCTGTTCTTCGGGAATGCGTATTTAGGACGCCCGTCCTGAAAGGGTTAATTAATCTTTTAAGTTGAAATTTTAAATTGAATATTTTATTTAATTTCTGTTGAAATCTTAGTGAAACTATGAAGTAAATAAGTTCTCATATTTATTCATTTCATTTATTTATCTAAGATATTCTGGTAGAGAGCCGAGTTTTAAGAATAAAATTTTAAAGGGGCAGAACTTCTTTTATGGAGGACAGATGTTTACTGCACCGGCAAAGTTAGTATTTGATGCTTTAAGCTTTTAATATAATTTAGCTGTATGTAATATCCATATTGATGTAATTATTTCTTATATATTTATTTTTATATAAATAAACTTTTGCTTCTCATAAATAATCGGTATTTCAGAAATCCTGTCCTTAAGTTTTATTAGTTAGACATGCAAAATATTTTAATAGAAAGTAAGTCTCTATGTCTGTTAAAATGTCTAAAACTTGTAGCTTGTAGCTTGAATATTTATTTACTGATATATTATTTATTGTTTCTCTGCTCTAGAAATGTTATTTATGTATATATATATTTAATTCTTACATGATAATTAATATCTTAAGTATTTTAAAGAGATGGCAACTTTTAGTTTTAACGAATTTGAATTAAAGTGTTAAATAAGAATTTTTTTCTTTAATTTTTTCTAATACATATCATATTACTTTACTGTAATCTTATTTAATATATACAAAGAGAAAGAAAAAGAGCAAGTTATTCATAAGCAAAATTTTTTATTCTTCATGTTTGACAAATCTAAAAAGCAATGGAATTTTTTGGCAAATTTCGTGTTAAAACAATAGCATGTGATAAGAATTTTTTTGCTTTTTAAATTATTACCTTGATTTAAATTAGGCTATTATAGGTTTTTTAAACTTTGTATTGCTGGTATTGTTTTTCATTTTATTAATGAAAATTCTGTTGTCTTTGCAAAATGCTATTGTTCTTGACAGGTGGTATAATACCATGCAATGTTTTTGGCAGTTTTTATAATTTAAATTAACTTTTTTATGTATTACAAGTAAGATTCAAACAATAGCATATGTTTTTTTTGTTACCCAAGAAAAGGAATAAAAAAATGTTTTCCATATTTGCCATTTTCTTACTATTGTAGTTGATTTTGTGCATTCAATCTAAATTTTGTAATTTCATGTTGACATTGTTTGTTCTAAACCCTTTGGAGTAAATTTATTTCCAAAATGTAATTTAGTTTTTAATTAGTCCTTTAAAAATGTTATTTAAAATTTTCAGAATCTTCCAGATATTATTTCAAAAAAGCAATAGATTATGTGAAATTGTGGTCTGCTTCCTGATGAAGAAATACAGCTTTATGACTTTTACTTTTTTTTTTTCATTTATCTCAATTTCCAATGTTTACTTATTTATCATTTTATTTTATCTCTTTCTTCTTGTGGGCTTGCTAGCCATAAAGAATTATGAATCGTTCCTAGAAATTTCTTATGTATCATAATACTTATTATCTTTTTAAATTTTCATTTCAATTATACACATGCAGTTATTATCTTTTTAAATTTTCATTTCAATTATACACATACGTATATATATATAAACATAAAGCATCTAAATTTATTATTAAATTGGAATAAAAGGAAGGCAATTCCTCTATAATATAATAATTGCAACCGTGTATAAGAAGTTTAACACAATATCCAAACAAATCCAGTTAACGAAAGAATTCATAGTAGAACTAATTCGAAAAATAAAAATGCAAAAGGGAAAATATACAAAATTATACAAATAAAAATTAGTCTCCTTTCATTGAAACTCCAATTCAGAACTCATCAGGGGAAAATTAATTAAAACTTCATAAAAGTCAATTGCAGTCAAAAGTCGTTAATCCGGACTCGTTGGGACTTCGGCGATTCCGGATTATAGATCATCAGTTTAAGTCTGGTAAGATAGCATGCAGAAATTCTAAAATTAAAATATGAAACCGTAATTTATGAAATAAAGAACAATTATGATCTAAAGGGTATCAAAATAAAATTAAAAAAAAAAAAAAAAACTTAATATTTATTTGTTTACTTTCTTCGCTATCGGAGCGAATTATAATGAGGAGGAATTTGATTTAAATCATATCAAAGACGGAGTACATCGAGATAAATACTACATTTAGTAAGGAATTATAAGCCAATAAAATAAAAATCTGCCCTGAAGATAGGATAGTGCTGACAGATCAACTTCCATTCATTGCGCGCGCCGCTCCCCCCCGCCGAGCAGCGTGAAATTGATAAAATATTTGGAAAGTTAGATAAACAAAGGAATGCCTTTATGATGAAAAAAGCAAAGTTTAAAGTTGTAAAATTAAACATTTAGCAGCAGTAGTAATAGAAGCTCCCTAAGGTTATGTGCTGTGCAGACATTGAAGACAATAAAAGGTTTTAAACTTAACCAATTTATTAACAATATGTATAAATAAAAACATAATGAATAAATTTAAACAATATCAGAAACTTAGAAAAAATATAACAATCATTATCAAAATTTCATATATTAAATAATATTTTACCTGATTTCCATTTCCAAATACTGGCATTCAATACGCGAAAAACATATCCTAAACAGAAATTATGCGGTTTTAATAAAATTAGCTACACTATCAATAAGTCCATGCTTAATGGTCAAGAAGGCAGCTGAAAATTAAATTAAATCCTTGAGAGCACTGGCCTAAAACCGGCTCACTGTAGTTAAACACGAGGAATCACGGCTTAGAAAAACATCGCCGCTAACTTGTGTTAAATGCTGCCTTCATGAAGAACATGGATGCCGCCCACGGCAGTCACTCACATCATAGCCTCTTTTGAGAATCCAGGAAAAGTCATCTTGTAGAATGGAATCACGGAACTTATCCAGGAAAAGTCATCTTGTAGACTGGAACCACAGAACTTATCACCGGACTGCACACATCGCAAGACGTCTTCAAATAGGGCTGGAAACTGCACACCAAGGAGCCAAGAAACAGGAACTAGAAGGAATGAGCCAGAGCGACGCGAGATACTTATACCAGAAGTAGGCATGACGTCATCTCACGGCAACCAATCAGCTATCGACACGACTCGGCTTTCAAGATGACGTAACATCAAGTTTCGTTTTGCATCTTAATTAGGCTGAAACAGTCCTTCTTAATACAAACATGCCGTGAAAAACGAAGTAGAAGTAAACTACTATATCCCTTTAAAATAAGAACTAAACTAAGAAAATATTTCAAGGAGGAAGATGATGCAGAAAAAGGGTTACAA